CAGCTCCTCTCCGCTTCACCGTGGCTCCCCGCCCGCACCCCACCCCGCCCGCCGACGGAGCCTAAATTTGGGCGCGCAGCCCAGATTAGCCTCCGCCGGCGCTGCCGCCGCTTCCTGCTCAGTGCGCGGCGCGCGGCCCTTCCTTGCTGTGCTCCTCGGGCGACCCACGCCGAGCGCCTCCTCCTGCTCCTGCTCCTGCTGCGAAGGGCGAGGGCGAGGGCCGGGGCCCGGGCGACCGCAGGTGAGTGCAGCGCTGGGACCTCCGCTCCAGACTCCACGCCTCCCTCCCCTCCAGTCGCTACCGCTCATATTTAATGCCGTTAACGCCGCGAGTGCGTGGTTATTTTTATCCCGGGTGAAGGGTCACGTGTCGCCGCAAGAAGCCGGCAGTACGCTAGTTTTGTTGTTTTCAACGTAATTCTTCTGTGAGTTTTGTTGTAACGTTTTGTATGGAATTCGTTCCTAGTTTCGCTCCATTTATTTTTCACGATTTTTTTAAAATGTTTATGACAAATGATATCAATAACAAAGTTATTGTGGATATGTACTATTATCAGATGAATTGTGAGTGTGTGTACTTGAGCATCACAACTTCAAACATATGTTGTTGAGGTTTTTGAAAGCAGCGAAGTCCCATCTTCGTGCGTTTCAATCGCCCATCACCATGGGTGGGGCAGTTTCACGGATCCAGAACATCCCGCAGTGCACACAGACAACCATATCGCTTGCATAACTTGAAGCCAGTGTTCAACCAGTGTATAATGTGTGATTGTTTTTATAGTTACCGTTTTCTTCAAGTCCTGTGATCGACTGCTAGTACATTCTAAGCACGTGACGCTAACCACGTGGTCTGCTTTCCAGGTTTGACGGTGAATTGGTGGTTATTAGTCTCTCTTCAAGGACTAGATGGTGCTGCACGGCAATGCACAATTATTACTTTTTTCTCTAATATTATTCTCGGGAAATGTTCAGAAGTAATGTTTCTTGAATGTTGAAAAAGGGGAATAATACCTAAAACATAAAGAGTAACATCAGAAAGACATTATCTTTCCTAAGCTGAATGCTTATAATTTAAACAATTTATTTCAATTCGTCTAGGCACACGTGGCCACTATCGTTAAATAAAAGTATAATATCACCCATGAAATACTATTAGAAGATTTTATTTTTTCACCATAAAGTATCTACTTATAGTCAATGATACACGATGGAATGGGAAATTAATTTATAATAGTAGTTTATGCAATTAGTTTATAATGTTAAGCTTTATTGTATGAGTACGTTTTGAAAACGAGCTACTTTAAGAGCGAGTTTTCCAATTTGTACGAATGTAATAAAGGAACATTATAAACGAGTTTCATACTATATTTTTTTTGTATAGCAGCATTATACATTAAAAGAAAATCAAACATCTTAATTTTGCGAAACAATTTTCCTGTGACGACTCGGGTATTTGACATCGTGTGAGTAAACGGTGGTCGGCTGTTCCGTTTAGCTCTACATCCCCCCGATTCTCTCGCTACCATTGGCTGAATATGTGATGACGCAATCATTCGTGACATCAAATCTAATACGTCATCATTTGTGCCGTAAAATGCCCGATTATGAACGATTTCTTGCAACAGAAAAGGTTCTTTTATAATGCTGGAATACAAAAAATATTCGTATAGCTCATCATTACATTAATCATTCACATGCCCCCTTACATTTTGTAAATTGAGGTTCAGAAGTTCAAAAATAACAAAATTATGAATTTACGCTATCGTTGTGTAGGTCTAAAATGTCTTTAATGTCCAGTTTTTCTAAATGTTTTTGTCATTTGTTTACTTGTGTGGTATAAGCCCTAAATATCGAGTACAATTAATACGAAAACAAATAAATGGATAGCAGTATATTGGATCTTAATTTTGTGAATCTGATTATTTTCTTCAGTATAACTTCAGTATTTATTTAGCTCAAAGCCAGCTGTCTCTGCAGCGAATTTGACAGGGGGTTTTAGGGTTCGAGTCCCGTTGGAGGAGGATTTTTTATATTAGCTGTGTAGTGAAATTAAGCTAGGCTACACACACAGTAACGCTTACATGCACTACACTACCACATGTCGGGAGTTTAAAGCTAGTCCGAGCTGGGGCACTGCCCCGTTGATAAGGCCCAGCTCCTTGGTGGGAAAAATCGGTCGCAAGCCGTCTGGTAAGTCGGCTCTCCAACTAGTGGGGGAGGAACTACACGATCTCTCGAGATAAATTACGTACTACACTAACGGGACTCATGAACACAGCAGTTGACGCCACCAAAAACATCAATCAATCCATGAATCGAATATCTGTAAATTACTTTTGAAAACACTGTTTATGGTGAGAATATCAAGTGTATGAAAATGGCTTTCCATATTTAACGTGGATTTCAGATTGAATCTTTCTTCCGATTACATTTTATAATAGGATATTAATCATGTTTCGGATTGTAGAGGGCATAATTCACTCCATTTTATCCCCTTCTCCACTCTCCGCCGCTACGCCGCCCTTGCACCGCTACATTCTGTCCCATGTCATCCCGCCCGGTTCCCCCGTCCTGCCCGCTCGGCCCCGCCCCCTGGCACGATCTTTCTCGCCCAGCCCTTCCGCTTCATCATTAGATAAATGTATGAACCTACCTCTTTATCTCGCCCGTCTCAAGATACTACACGCACAATTTTGATGCACGCGCACGTAGCCAGTCTATCTCGTTTCGCGCGTGTGAAAGTATTCCTTCGATTGCTTCCGTTCAATTTAGCGCACGCTCCAGTTGTTTAATTGAATGTCAACTGTTACGTCTGTTTCGCTTCAACTTATTTGCGTGCTGTGTGTTGCAGTGTGGCACAGTGTTGGGGGAGCCTGATCGAGTAGTGGAATTGGGGGAGACGTTCATTCCATACCAAGTGTTCCTGGAGTACGTCCTGGGCCTTGGGGAAACCACATACGGGTAAGTTCTCTCATTGAAGCAAAGTGTTTAGATGGATTAGCGATGAAATAATGACATTTGTTTGTTTTTGCAGCCCGCATACCTACGATCTCTTCCAACACAATTGTAACAATTTTACTGACGAAGTAAGCCAGTTCTTGTGTGGAAAGGGAATCCCCAAGTACATTCTTGACGTCCCTCAAGAAATACTTGACACGTGAGTATCACTGAGACTAGTGGTAAGATTCTGGCATTTGTAGGAGAAGTAATAAGTGTGTGCGTAAAAGTTTTAACGGCATAAGAAATAATTAAACGTTGGTTTTAATGTACTTCGCGGTTTAAACATTGTCCGTTTGAATAGTAAATTACAAATCCTGTCAATCCAATCGGAAAGAAATACTTTGAATCAAAGACATTTTCTGAAGAGGGAAACTGTTGTTGACACTCTTTAGTTGACATATAATAGAATTAATTTCTAATTCAGTCATTTGTGGCAAAATACATTGGTGACATCATTATCCTTCACTGCGGGTACTAATGAAAAATTCTCTAAACTATAAGTAGTAGTCATTCGTTGCATAGAAAAATATATTCTTGAAAAATCAATTTTATTAAAGTTGAAGAATTCTTTGAATCACTAGGTGTCTGTATTTTATACTCGTAATTATTAGTTTCTTTGTGAATTGCTAATTTATTATTAGTCCAAAGTTCAGATCTCGAGCCCTCTATTTGCGGCACGCGAACCAGTTTCGCAGCGGGTATCCCCGACGCTGTCGAGTATTCCTTGCGTTTCATTCCTTCTTCTCCTGTGGTTCATTAAATTGAATATCATCAAGTAATACAAACACATCACGTCTGACGTCACACGGCAACTCATGTGTCGCGCAGCAACTCACATGCTACAGAGACTCGAACGCCGCCGCGGTTCTGAAATTTTTCCTGTGGAAATTACCCGAACAAGTCGTTTACCCCCCATGTGAGACACACAGTAAATTAATTTTAATTATTGTTTAGACCTTCGAAAGTCACCCGTACGTTTTCCACTGTTTTCAGAATTCCTCGAAACTTCATTCTTATTCAAAATTGTCCGTTTACCCTATTTTAAATCATCCACTACGAGAGCACGAGCGGTTTTTGCAATCCAAGAAGCTGCTTCACCTGCTAGCGAGATGGGAAGGGTTTTTAAAATGTTAATTGGTGGTAAGAATCAAAAACAGCATTGTTTTAAAAAATAATTTTCCACCACACAACAATATATACTATGTATTATTGGGTTCATCGTTTTACGACGGTCAAAATATATTATTGTTACTTACGAAACCAATGACTCATAAAAAACAAATAAAACACACATCCGGTTGCCCCCATTCCTCGTGCAAATCTGTGAAAACTACAATGTAGTTGAAAATGACAAGATGTGTAAAGTAGCTTGTAAATACGGAGGTGAGTTTTAGGTCGTTGCCATTTTTACTCGAAGGTAGTCTTAACGACGGACGTAAACTCTAGCGAATACGCACAAGCGTCCACGCTCGAGGTGAGAAACGCAACCCTTCGGCCTCGGCTACGCACGTGGGCAAATAATAATTATTAAAGTCATTAGTCCGAGAGATAGCAAAATCCAACGGAGTGTCTTGTTTGTGTTATGTCAGTGTATCGTTCGATTTCCGTTGTAATATTTTTTTTTAATCGTATAAAAACATCTTCTTACCTTATAAGAAGTAACATTTCTTGAACTAAGTATACTCATACGCCAAATTTAGGTACAACTCATTTTTTTCGATTGTTCTTCTCGGACCCCAGCTGCTAAAAATGTTTTTTCTTCCCTACGTTTGCATGCGTTAAGCCTATCATATAATTACAATACAGCCTGTGCAATATTGCGGCAATCCGCGTTGGTTGCAGGCCGTGGGGGCAGGCGCTGCGGCCTCTGATCGACAGCTTGAGCGAAGGCGCCCGCGGAGTCGCGTTCGGCCAGAACGCCAACAACAGCCTGAGGAACTACGAGCCGCAGGAGCCGCGGAGGGAGCGAGACGTCTCGCCGGACTTGGTCGAGCTCAACAGCGCCATCGAAGAAGTTAGGTAAGGATAGACGAGGGTCACAGAGGGGTTTTGCACATCGTTGAGCACCTTGCATCATACCCTTCGACGCTTTCGTTAGTGTATCGGAAAACGATTCTCTGTCAGAATGGCGGAGTGTAGGGTGTATTCAGGATCACGATAAATGGACTTTCTTCTCAACTGTGGAGGCTTCTTACTTTATTCCCCTGATCCATTATCAACTGTGGAGGCTTCTAACTTTATTCCCCTGATCCATTATCAACTGTGGAGGCTTCTAACTTTATTCCCCTGCTCCACCATTGTGCTTGTGAACACCAGTCGAACAAATACGAATCAAGAAGATGGACGTTTTTTCTCAACTGTGCAGGCTTTAACTTTATTTCTCCGATCCACCATTATGCTTGTGAGCACATGTCGAACAAATGCGAGAGTCAAGAGGATGTGATATTATGGGAACATGGCGTTAGCAGCACATAGCCGTCATAGTTCGGAACTACTTGCATGTATCTTTGTTTTAGAGCGACATTTCGTGCATAAAGGCACTTTACACTTCAAACGGTACAGGTCATTTGGTTGCCTCTAACTATTCGCCTTCGGAAACTATTATTGATAGTAACAAACAAATGTTTCTTGTGTCATATTTCTGCCAAACGCTTCCTCACTACACAGAGGTTTGTCAACGAATTCTATCGTTCCATAATGTCCATGGGTTTTCCTACTAGTGAGTCGATAATTAGGCATACTACAAAGTATCACAGGAGACAAAATCTACTTCCTTCAGATTCAAGCGGGAAACGCAAATTTATGAATTGATGGTTTGGAGGAGGGTACGAATTACTACAGGTGTGTATCGAATAGAGGCCCCGCGCACTTATCGATGCATCTGGGATAGAAATTCACGAATTGCTAGGCGCCTTTCCCTGCCCACGAGTCTACTCTAAGGATCAATTTACCTGAGAAATTGTGTACCAAGGCCAGTTTGTAACACGAAGATATTTTCTCTTACATTCGATTTTGTGATAGGCACCACAATTATTGCAATACGCCCCAAAGTCAATTTGGGTCTACGTTGTTATGTCATAGTGTGTTTTTCTCTGTTGTTGGTTCTGAGGCTAAGAGATTTAGAAAATCTATAGTGATACTGACAGGTTGGAAACTGGCCATCCACTAGCTAAAAGAGGAAGTATGAAGATTTCGATGTAAGTGTTATTACAATAAACATGTTAGTGAAAATAGAACTACTGAGAATTTACGATTGTTGGGACATAATTTTGATGAAGAATTGTCAGGTATTCAATACATTTTGGTAGTAAATACGTGTATGAATGTATGTGTGCGTGTTTTGACAGTTTATTTACAACTTATCACATACGGACATACTGCCTTTGTGATGATTGGTACTGTGAGGCAATAAGTCGATGTCACAAAAATGTGTGACAGTTTGTCCTTGTTTCAAATTCACATGGGTAAAAAATATCATGTGACTCATGAGTGACCTGATTAATCTCCTGGAATGCAGTTTGTGTCTGTTAAAACTGCAACTATTTTGCAAAATGATTTGTGAGGTAATATATACCTCGACGAAAATCGAAAATTACGCAAATCGCTTTTTGCGGGTAGCGGTGCCTCTGAGACCGAATCATTGAAGGACATGCGTATTAATAATAAAAATAATAGGAACCCCAGAGTGCTGAGTTTGGGTCCTGTTCTTTTCCACCCTAGTCAACATTTGTATTGTAATTTGACTCAATTTATTCAAAACAATTATCACATATTGATCGCAACTCATTCAAAGTATATTCCCATTCAGAAAATACTATATTTTTTTTTTCCTTTGAAACTAAAAACGATGATAATTAAAAAATATTTACGCGAAGAGGGTCCGAACTCAAGTTGCCGCCCCTACCCCTTCTCTGATAATATTTTTTGATCCGCCTCTGAAAATGTATCTGTGTAATGTGTTTCATGCCTGAAACGACTCGCCGTAAAATTTTGTTATTTTTGTATAAACCATTTCAAAAATATATAATGATTTCTTCCAGACGCAACTCCATAGCCCTCGAGGAACGTCGTAATGAGATCAACGAGAAACTAGCGAAGAAGGAGCGCAAGAAGAAGAAGAAAAAGCAGAAGGAGCGCAAGATCGAGAGCGAGGGCAGCTCCCCGGAGTTCACGCCCGACAGCGGCAGCTCGCATAGCTCGCACAGCTCGCACAGCAGCCCCAGCAGCTCGCGCGTCTCGAGCGGCAAGATGGCGGACGCGGCGGAGGGCGCGGACATCGAGCTGACGGCGGCGAGCGACGGCAAGCGCTCGGCCGAGGAGGTGGACGCCGAGATCGAGGCGCAGGAGCGGAAGGAGCGCGAGGAGAAGAAGAAGCAGCGCGAGCCGCCCGTCGTCTTCAAGGACGCCATCGACGTAAGGCTCGCTGGGTGGCGCGTGCGCGGGAAGTAGCGGGGAGAGAATATTCCCCGGTGCCGTAGCCGGTCCAATCCACCTGAACAAAATGTCTCTGATATGACTGCACGTGCTTAGGTGGCTCAGGGCATCAATTGATGTCACAGCAGTGCCTGTGAACGGGAGGTCCTAGGGTTTGTGTCATCTAGCTAGATAGCTAGGTCGAATTTAGTCGCTGTTTGGAGGAGAATTCTAGCTCTGATCGGTAGTTTTACGTTCTTTCTCCGGTCATCACCAGGTGAATGCCGTAGCAGTACCCTAACTAACGCGGCCACGGACCACGCGCGATCTTTCTTTTCCACTTCCATATTCTTTCCTCGCCCCCCCCCCTTATTTACACTTACATGCACTACACTACCGCACATGTCGGGTGCCTAGAGCTTGTTCCAGCTGGGGCGGGCATCTCCATCTCTCGCGATCAAATCCATCCACAATAAGCAGGGCGCCATTTTGGGGGTTTATAGGCGTTTACGGTTTTGTAAATTACTCAGCGCTAGGTCGTTGTTCTTTTGTTTGCATGTTAGCTCAGACATGGAAGGGTGACATCTAAGAAAAGGTGAAAATAACTCACCGTCATCATCCTATTTGTCCCAAGAATCGCCTTTTGTTTCTTTACTTCGTATTAAAATATCATTTACACAATTTTGTTTAAAGCCTTCAATAAATCTCACCATCGCGTGTCTGAAAATCTGACGCACACTGAGTCACGTGATTGCCAAATTTGACAAGCTATCATATTGATGGTTCTGCACAATCGAATGTGCACGTCGATAATCTTGGTTTCATCTGAGTTGATGTACAAAGTAGTTGTGGGAAAAGATCCGTTTGACCATTCAGCTGATAATTATCGTGCTTCTGGTCGTTGAAGTCGGATTGACTGCGGATTAATGTGGCTGATGGTCATTTGATCTGAAGCGTAGTTTCAGGCGAGTTAAGTTCAAGAGAGGGAGTTCCAAGCTTCGAGACGAAAGATTCACGTGAAATTTAAAGCCACGTTCTCCTTAAAACGCGATTGAACTACGTTTTTAATATAAGTTATTTTTTGTAAATGGGTTAAATTATAAATAGCAAAAAAAATATTAATCCTTAAATAAATTTGTAAATTTTTCAGTAATTTATATGGAGGATCGTGTGGCGAAAACTTCGGGGGAACGTGCAAAATAATGTGGCACAGTGGGTCAGGAATATCGCTGGGTTTCTTATCGAGACATTGTTCTTGGCATCCCTTTCAGCTGCAGTAATGTAACTGTTCGATCAAGACTTCGATTTTAATAATAAATATTAAAATTATTATGTTATAATAATATGAAAATACTTTTTGAGTATCGTTACTCGAGTTAATCAAATAGATATTACGCTTTTCAATCTAAACAATGCCCTATTTAGTGTTTATAATCGCAATATCCATAAGTTATCAAGTAATAAAAACTTTTTACCTCTTTGACTAGTACGAATAATTCTATTTTCGGAGTGTACTTGCTACTTATCAACCGCACTAGCGTAGCTCATGGGCCCCGTGCCAGCCGGTAATTTGCCGGTGGAGGGACCGCTGTATCCTACCCCACTCGAACGGGACAGGAATGAAAAGATGCCATGAGAAGGATGCTGTATGATGGGACGGTCCAACAAACCACAACACACAAATAAACGCGGGACTCAAATCCGCATCCCGCCGAACCGAGCTCCTACTGCACTCATGCTTAGAGACCTGGACCATCGGGACGCAGGCGTGAGATAGCGTCACGGCTTGCCGCAATGGCATCATAGCGGAAGAATTTCTAGGTGAAAATATTTGCCCAAAATTAAAACGCGAACTGCAATGTGATGAAACTCGCATTGTTTTTATAGAATACATTAATAGAAACTTAACTTAGAAATGCATCGCATATTGTTTACATCTTTATTTTTTAATTAATTATTTTTCATATGCTTATTCTGAAAAATTGGTTTTTTTATTGTACACGTCTTATATTTTTTTGATGTTTTTTGACAAAATGAAAAGAGCATCATCGAGGGAGGCACGTGCAATATTTTCTTTGATTGGTTTGTATTAAGAAATAATGTAGAACTATGGTACTGAGAGACAACATTAATAATAATAATATGAAACTTACTGTAGATTATTAATAAATGATTTCCTTTATTTATCATTAGTAGTTTATCATTAAAAAAGAGTATACTTTATATAGCAAATAGTATTATAATTGGAAAAAGTATATGTGAATTTGCAATAAACAAACTTTGCAATTTCTTTCTGAATTCGCTAGGTGCGAGTAGAATTTGATGCCCTGGTTGGGTTCGTTGATGGAATCCTTAGTCCTGAAGAACAGCAGTCATTAGAGGAACTTCACCAATACATGCTGGAGGATGAAGGATCATGGGCTTTGGGTGATGGGTTTCTCAATTTTGTTGGTGAGTGGAAATATTGTGTATTGTAATAGTTAACAAAATTTATAAAATATTATTTAAACTGTCATTAACTAATATTTGTTTTTAAAAGTAAGGAATGGTAATTTCCTATGATTTTTTTCCAGGTCGTTTACTTCATGACAAATCACTGAAATCTGAAATTAGAGTTAGACTTCTAAAGGTTCTTGCTGCTGCTGCCTTGAAAGATGATGTTATTTTGATTCTCCACCAAGACCGAAGAGAGCATGTTCTCATGAATTATGCTCATGATGTTGACAGACTCACCCTGGAAGAGCAAGAAGCACTTGCTTTATTTGTAAGTATCTTCTTAGGATATTTAAAGCTCAAAAGCAATGACTGAAAGAAAAGTGAGTTCCCTTGTTTCATTGATTTTTCTATTCTTCTTATTTAGATATGCAACATGTTTGAAAACTTGAGCAGCTCTGAATGGCTCTTGTATATATCAGAATGGCAATATTGCAATGCCACTATTAGCAACATTCGGGTGACAACGAAGGTAGCTGTGCATTCACTGCTATCTGATCAACCTGTCCTCCAAGATCGTGGTTCTGCCATTATTCATAACTTAGCTTGCAAGGAGGTAAAAACTGTGGTCTGTATCCCCTCCCTGTCCCTTACACCGTGTGTTTTCTTCCAGCATGAGATCATAACTCTCCTCCTCCCATGAGAACTGTGAGCACGAAGAGCTTCTGTTTAATATTTTAGGAAACACCATGTACACTCAGGTGATGTCTGTTGACTCAGTGCTTTCTTATTTAATAGTTAATTATTGAAGTGTAACTTATTTCATGAAAGAGGGAAAAAACCAAACTTTTCTGTCATTTAAGAGAAATCAACAAAATAGATATATCCTGTAAATATATACCAGGAAAATACACAAAACTTTTTGATTCCATTTTCAGAAAATGACTCAAAACTTAAATCTTAGAAGAATCTTACCTCCAGGATGCAAATCAAAGGTAGCATAGCTTTCTAAACAAATTGTGGGGCCCTAATAATGTATGTTAATACACTAAAAATTTATCTTGTGTTGGATTTGCTTTGTTCATAATTGTGTACTGATCATATTTATCAGTAATTGTTTGTTAATGTTTTAAATCAGTGATGTTCACAGATATATGTGCTGATAGATTCAGGGCAAGCTTAGTAGATGGTAACACTTTTTAAAAATATTTCTATGGTGAATAGAGTAGGTTACACATTTTTCAAATGGATAATTGATAGAAACTTTTTTTTTTTTCATCTCATTGCCATACCTTGTGAAATTATATGAAATCTGTACAACCTCTCAGATATTAATGGTTGCCATATTTCGTAACAGTGCACCAGATGTAAGGTGGAGCACAAAGATCTGTAGCCTAGGGACACTCTAAAAAATTATCTGGAAAAGATTGTGAAGGAAAAAAATTGTCATGACTTGCTGTTGTATGTAAATTTTTCACACTTGTTACTTGACACACAAGCATAATTGTAATTGAAATGAAAACTACTGTTTCCTTAAAAAAGAAATAGAATAAAAGTTATATAATAGTAATAGTCAGTATCAATTATAGTACAAGTCAGGAATGGAGGGATGGATGGCGAAACATGATTTGATTGTGAATGTTCATCTTCGTGACAAAACAATGTAATGGCAAAGAGAGGGTGGATTTTGTACCACTTAAAGGGCTCCCACATTTTCTCAGACCAGGGCCTCACCTTTTGTTATTTTGATCCCGTATCTTGTTATGAGAAAATAAGGAAGGCAATTATCCACTTTTATTGTCTTTCCCATTTTCCCCTTAATTTTCTCATACAAATACGTAATGAAGAGAAAGTTATTTAATTCTGCAGCAAAAAATTGCAACTTTTTGGCAGAAAAATTTGCATTGTAGATCCCCAGTAATGAAGATGTGAATAACTCTTGTGGAAAAAAATATAAAGTATATAATTCTTGTTCCAATTTGTGGTAAATTACTTTCTTTAACACATGAAGTCACAACCCACGTTTTGTGGGTCTTTCATACTTATCATTTTTAGAACTTTACATGAAGCCTCAAGGACATTTTCTGTTTTTTGTCAAAAGTTAATCAGGTCTGATTTTCATTGAATTTTCTGAATTTTAGAAAATTGCAAAAGCTTAAAATTTGTTTGGTGTCTTCTTACAACTTCAACATTAAAAATAGAGATTTTTCTTAACAAAATCTGGTCTCTAAAATTAGATTTTAAATGAGGTCTTGTTGAATTGTTTTCAAAATGTAAGTTTTCCCTTAATTTGAAGTGAAATATGGGCTTTTTCACTTAATTTTCTCAAAATACGTTTTAAATGTTTCTCCAATATTTTATACAAATAGTGCTCAATGCCCTTAGTAAAAGTACACAAACGCAATTTTTATATGTTCTTTCACTTTTTCAAACACTACACAAAGATAATGTCAAATGTTTTTGAAATCTCTCGTAATTTATATATGGTATGTTTTGTTGATGTTTTTGCATTATTGCTTTTGTAAGCACAAGTGATTCAGATGTTTTCTTATGACATTTGTTGTAAACTCCAGTTTTTTGTGTAAATGTCCTCAAAATTGCGCATTTTCAGATACAATCAACCAGTATTTTCTCAAGAATGGCTCTGAAGTTTGCATTGAAACATTGTGTATAGGTTCATGTGTTATTATTCTGTATCTTATTTCAGTTCTATTATTAAGTGTCCTAAAAAACGAAAAAGGTGAAGATGAAAGAAAAAAGAAAGAAAGAAAAAAAGGCGCCGACAGGTAGCAACCGGAAAGAGTATGGGGGCAATGCCGTAAAATTAACGTAGACTAAAGAGATAAAAAACTAATCAGTGCTAGAAAGTAGCTGTATTAGCTCTATCTTCAGTTTGTTATTCCCATAGGTAGTAAATTACTTCTAACACGTTGTGTAGTCGGAGTATATGTTTTAATACAAAAAAATGGATTGGTGACAGAACGTCTATAACGGTCCGTCCGTCCGTCCGTGATCAACGTCAGCGCCTTAGCCGTTCAGCCGATTTTCTCCAAATTTGAGATTTCCCGATCGATCTGAACGCACTCAAGAATTTGAGAGTTTCAAGCGGATATTTGATTTTTGAGGGTTATTTACATGAAAACTCAAATCATTTTCAAAATTTTCTCAATAATGGCTCCAAATTTTTGGATCAAACCTTTTCTCGGTTAGCGTAAAAGACTTAAAACAATGGCCCAGGTCTCGTTTTCCCGATAACTGCGAAATTTCAATTTTTTTGTCGACTTCTTCCCACTACAATATTGAATATGATTATTCCTTAAAATCTGTTCTTCAAAGACACCTTTAAATTTCGTACATATAATTTTTCGAAAATAGTTTACTGAATACTAGTTTTCGTGATTGGTAGGAAATTTTTAAACAATTATTTTCTAAAAAAAAAGCTCAAAATTTTTCATTTAAAATTTCTCCTTGTATATATCAAAGAACGGTAAAAAATTGTGTGCTAGTCCCATTTCCGGCGAAGTGTATATTTCCAAAAATTGCAAAATTTAACAATGCAAAACTACAATATTGATGACATATTTTTGTCTTAAATGAAATCAGTCTAGGGGTGCTGTTTTAGAGCCAAGATCAGTTTTAGATGAGACTAAAGTAATTCCAACCAACAAACTTTTTTTTTTTTTTTTTTTTTTTTTTTTTTTTTTTTTTTTTTTTTTTTTTTTTTTTTTCTCGCGAAAAGATTTTATCATGGCGAAGAGTGACTCTTCCGTTTCAAAGATGGCGCCTTCATTGCTACACTATCTCTAACTCATTGATTGGAATATAATTCAACTTTTTTGACGGTTGGTGACAATGTCATATGAATAACTTTGCGTATTGTGTCCACAGAAATTACATTTTTATTTATAAGACAGTCTTAAAGTATTGTGAAAAAATGACGTTCAAAACAAGAAGAAAGTTATTGAAATTTCGTCAGAATAATTAAATCGCCTTAAACCAAAATTAAAGGGATAGTCATTTAGGTTTTCGCGAATAATTCTAGAACGATGACAAATTTCTCCAACGTGGACCAAACGTTTCTGGAAACCTATAAAATTTCCTATTAAATGCGTTTTGATTCAATCCGATAGCGCAATTAGCCTTTAGTGCGTAAATATCAAAATTATTGTTGAAACTTTGCCGGACGTAAACAACAATCTGTTTACAGCTGCCGAAGGCAACGGTGGTGGTGGCAGTTGTACTCGTAACAAACATGGCTGAATAGGACACTGTGAGGAGTGGCAGGTGGAACTGGGCGGTTGGGATCGCATATAGTGGCTCGGGGCAAGGAAGAACGGGGGGTACATTACAGTTAGAATTCATTCGATTCTTTCTCTCTGAGAGTAATATACTATATAAATGTGTTTGTTTTTGATTGCTTCGTACTTAATGCGCTGCCGTATCGTTCATCCGATGCCGATAAAACTTTGTCAACTTATTGCGTGCGCTTGTGGGAAGAATGTGGGCATAGTACGATGGGAATGTGCGTCTGCCCTCGCACATAGACGCGCGCTGATGGTTTTATACTGAATCAAGCGCCCCTGGACAGCGCGATCTATGCAACCTGCCGCATTCTGAAGTACGAGTATTAAGACTGTCTTCGTTATATGTTCTGCCCCTGCGATTGTGAATTTTCGCCCGGGGGAGACAGATACAGAAATAGAGAGTGAGGCTGAGACGCAAAGAGATAAACAAAGATAAGGTGAGACACGGAGACAGAGAGGGACAGGGAGAGGGAAGAAGAACGAGAGAGATAGAGGGCAGCACAACGTCTGCCAGGTTCCATTAGTGTTATATATAATTATCCGGGTAACGCGGGGTACTCATCAAGTGGTTTTTTGTATCAAAAGTTGAGGAATGCCTAATGTACTAGGGACTATTGAAAGCAAAGAGAGCCGGCCAGGATGGGGGAGGGAGAATAAAATTACTTCTATTTTGCACTATATGTGGAATGCATTGCCTTTGCTGTCTAATAAAAAATTGGTGTCATAAATAAATGCTTGGGCAACATCATGTTATATGTGCAGTGTAAAATATAAAATGAAAGTAATTTTATGTAAATACATTCCCATTATGGCTGAATGCCCATTATGCGGGTTGCATTTTTCATCATCAAAAAAATAGCATTCTGGTGACGTTTGATTTTTTTTCTCCCAAATACCTGCCATCAAAATGATACCTCCCGCCTTTTAATGGTATCAAAACATTTTTAGCTTGAATTTAGGGTGTTCAAAATTGTTATGGATACTATAATCATCCATCCTCCTTTCAATTCCAAAAATATCAGTTGTTAAGTCTTCTTTAAAATTATTTCTCAGTATTTCTGAAAATACCCTTTCCAAAGTGTTTCAGAATTGTGTTATGTGTGTATAAGAGTAATTAAACATAATATTTTTCTCATAATTCAGAGCTCAAACGTTTCTGAAAAGAGGTTGTTTGCCAGATTTCATATATTTTCACACAGTATGTTAGTGTATATATATTTTTTGGTTGTTTGTAGCGCCATTTCATTATTTTTATTATTATTATTATTATTATTATTATTATTATTATTATTATTATTGTCATGGTTGTTTTTGAGTATAACTCACTGAGACTAACACTATTAACTTCTGTAGTGTACATGGTGATATGGCATGACTCCGCTGCATTGTTAATGAAGCTCATGGTAGAATAGAATGATGTTCTTGTTACTTTTAATGAAGGTTTAATTTTATTGTGTTTTATTTGATTTAGAGCTTAAATTAATTAAAATTTGAAATCATATGCATTTTAGAATTTTACATAACAACTTCAATGAAGTATTGAGTTGACTTTGTAACAAAGTATTGTAGCAATAACCAAAATGTTATTTGTGGATACATGTATTTTAAATTTTTCTTACAAAATGTTGTAAATGTGTAACACATCTTATCACATGTGTTTGTTTTGTTTTTTCATGTATTCTGTGAAAATTTTCTTTATATTTTGCTTACGCTTTTGATATGATGATGAAAGGCACTATAAAATTGCAAATTTCTTTCATTATGTAAAATTATTCTTAGTATTTTTGGGACTTATTGTATTTTGTTCATTTATGATAGGTATTTGATGACGTTGCTGTGGAGCTGACAATGGCCCTTCTACAGTTCTTCAACAGTAACCCTCCAGAAGAGCAACTGTACCGTTGTATGAAAGCTCTATCACGGTTCTGCCAAATATCGAAACAAGATGTTCCACAGTTAATCCAGATGATTGGGCCAGAACCTGCTAAATTTAGAGGAGCTTCAGAAAGAATTGATCGTCTGATTGAATCAATTTCCATTCGTTAAAACTTCTAGCAACCTGATAAAACGTATCCTGTGTTAGTTTTATGTCTACTTTTGCAAGAATGTAAATAAGCTCACGGAAGATGAATTTTTTTATTTTCAATGGGTTACAAGAAATTCATATTAATGTTTTTCCTCGTAGGAATTTTATGCACATATATTCAGGTGAATGTGATATAAAATCATGTGTATATATGAAGATATTACAATGAATTATTATTTTAAAGAAAATATAATTGTTCTATTTATGAATTCAAACTTTGCAGAATGTTAATAGTAATAAATACTGTTATTTATTTTTTTTTGTTAGGTGGATTATGAACTGTAGTATTGTCACTGTGGACAACCTTAAAAATTCAAAATTAGAACAAATTAACAAGAAATATTCAATTTTTGTGAATTCACATGTATTATATTTATTGTTGAAAAACTTCTATTTTGTTTATATAAATTTTAGTTTTGAAATAATACTCCGTTAGTATATTCTTTGGAGAAATATTTTTTTATTTGTTCTGAATTATTGATATCAAATTAATTGTATGGTAAATTGAAACATTGCCAATAGTTCAAAAAGAATTGTACGTACGAAATAATCTCCCAAAAGTTTCCAATGTATTCTGATGTACATTCACAGTACACATAAATTCCAAATTAGTATTAACTTTTTTAAATTTATTAAAAATTATAAATCTTTTGCATTTTTCTTTGAATCACTAAAATGTTGCAATTGTGGATTGCATAGCTACTGTGTTTATGTGCATTATTACTTAAATCCTCATCCTTGGATTTGTACAATATGCTGTATGAAATGAGTCGCTTGTTATTCATTAATTACATGTAACGTGAATAGGTGGATCATGAACAAATGGAATAATGAGTGAATGAACACTAATGTGATTTTTGTATAGTTCTATCTTCGCTGGTAATTAATGCATTTTGTTATTTTGCTCATTTCATAATATTTGTCATACTTGGTTTGTCTTCTTTATCGTTTGTATATTTAATTTTGTATTAATTGAACTGTTCCTTTTTGTGGAAGATGCAACTGAAATAAAAGAAAATGTGAAAATATGCAGTAAATCATTACTATTATTTAAATACTTCAGTGATTTCCTGTTTGATAATTGAAGTACAAAATTAATTGGATAATCTCAACAGACAGTAATTATTTTCATTACTAGAGATCATGCAAATTAAACATCTCATTGTGTACATATCTCGCGTTGAGTGATGAAGCAAGTAGTATTTCTAAAAAAGAATACACAAAGTTGTAATTGTTCTTTATCAGCAAGTAATTGATGTTTCTGAATAATCTTTCATGTAAATCATTTGCTGAAGAGCTTTACATACAGGATTGTGTTATCATGGCAGAAAGTGTGAAGGGGGATTGTGTTAGTATGTGAACAAGTTTATTTTTGATTCGTACTGAGTTTTGCTGATAAGAGGTAAGTTATATAGCTCTGAAACTTCTCCAAGTTAGTGAGTGCGAATTCGACCTCCACAAGAAAAGGAAAGAGAAGCATCAAAGGGAAGCCTACCTGAAAGTAAGTAGATGTGCTTGATCGTGTATTGGTAGCATCCTTGTCATAAGTTTGAAGTAGACATCAAACAGATCTTGGAATTGGTTTAGGTTCGTCCATCTATTTAATTGAAACCAACTTTTTTGTGTAACCTCGAACTAAACAGTAAAAAACAAAAAATGAAAATTATCAAATTACGATTAGTCATTTCTATGTTACATTCGGTAATGGCAACATCTAAAAGTAAAGGTTTTTTTTTCTGCAAATCCCAAATTTCAGTGCACCGACTTCGTCAGCTATTGCCGCTGCTTTCGGTTTTTACGTCATTATCCCCGTTTTAAGCCACATGGAAGTAAATCACTGATATTTTTGTCCATGTATCTTGTGCATTCATTTTAGATATTTATCATGGAGGGTTTTGTCTCTCCGTGACATTTTTAAACTTATGAGTCTCATTTTTATGTCAAATAGGGCCGGTTTCACCAACAGGAATCAAGAAGATGATCCCGAGTTGATCCGGATCAACTTCAGTTTGATCCCGTTGTACGTTTCTCCACGCACTTGACACGAATAACACCGTGTCATGACTCCGATCAAATCTGACTAGCAATTGATAAACCGTTCGCCGAGCGGATGATCACGCCAGATCAGGAGTATATTTCTCGTTCTTGCACAGACTATTCAGTTCCGTACTTTAGAAAAAGTATTGACTTAATCAGTATGGAACATTGCTAAAGTAGTGCGTAATATTGTGACAAATGTTTTTTTTTTAGCATATATTTAAATAAAATAGCAGTTAACAAAATTTAGTATATGGGTATGGAAGTCAAATTTAAAATATTTTGGCCTTCAAATTAGCTTAATTTAAGTATATTAGTAAAATCAGCACTTTTATATCTGATTGCCACCTTGGCGGCTGGAATAGCTTAGACTTACTTTTTTAGGTAAATCTCTTCAATTCTTGTTCTGTTAGGTCTAATTGTCCCGTAAAGCGACGTATGTTTCAATTGAACTCATAATAATTATATTTTATTATTTTATTATTATTGATTATTTCATTATTATTCATAATAAGTCATTGAAGAGTGGAGAGACACCACGATAATGCCCAAAAAAAGAATTTATTTGAATGTAGAAGAGCTATTAAAATTCTTTGTATTTGCTATTAAGCTCTTCAGTAATTTCTTCAATGGAGAGAATTGCGTAGTCAGCATTCTTCCAACGTAGATGAATCCATCAACCGAAGAAATACCAACACAACGCAACAAGAACACCAACCGGAACGAACGAAATCAAAACAACTCAAGTACCGAAATACCCTAAAACAATGCATGCAAAATGTTGCCAACGGCGGCATTTCACGAATTGCTCACGAATCAATGGGAATCCGGATCAAACTTCAAAGTCGCCAAAAACGTTGGTGAAACGCAAGATCAAGCGCCTTGACTCCGCGATCAGGATCACGAAACTCGGATCAACTACGAATTTGATCCTGGTTGGTGAAACCGGCCCATAGTGTCAGTTATTATGTGTTACAATTTGCTTCGCAATGTTTGTTGCGGATTTTGCCCTAATCAGTCGTAGTCAGTCCACAAGGGGATGCTTTCCTCTTCCCCGATGTCATTTACGAAGGGTAGGGTACGAGACACAGTCCCCCAAAGCATCCAGTCCCTCTTTGGAAGAAATGAATGGGAAGAGAATATAGCGCGCGATCCTTGGCCCAATAATTAAGTTTGCTTCTTCAGCATTCGCGGAAGTGACCAGGGGAACCAATAATCAGTGCCGATGATTTGCAAACTCAATTCCGGCAGGCAGCGCAACTAATGTTCCACACATGAAACACAATTTCCGGCACTCGCCCGGGGAGGAACACTCGTCAGGAATTGCCTTAGGATCGCGGGGCCCGATAAGGTTTTATGCCTTGTATATGCAGTCAGCCCGCGAATTCAGAGATGTGAGAGAAGCCATCTCTTAAATAAAAAGTTACATCAAAGACATTTGACTACTTTGCACATACTGTTGTAGGAAAATAAGGGTGAAGAAGTAGATCGTCAAACTTCCCCACCTTCCTCAGAATAGTTCGTTCTCATTGGACTAAACTGCACAGTGTCGTCGCGTTCGTATCTGGTGCATGCGAGATAGGGAGGGTGCTACGTTTTGCACTCTACTATCGGGATATGATGTGTGATGGGATGGACTGAAGGCCGCGCGGCAAGGCGAACCGCAGCAACGCGAGCGGGGGGCGTGTCTTAGGGAGTGGGGACTCCTATGACAGAGAGCAAATTTGGATATCACTCGTTCTCCTTTTGTATTTGTTTAACGTCAATTTATTTAAAGTACCTATTCTAAAATTTTAATACAAGCAATTATTTTACAAAAAGTTCGATTACCGAATAATGTATTATAGTCTTCTTTTTAAAAGCGCATAAATGAAAAATTATTTCCTTATCACTTGAATTATTGTGCGGTAGCAATATGTGTACCTACGACTTAAGAACGAGAAATTAATCTTGATTAGTACCTACAACGATCGATTATTTCATACGATCACTCACAGTAGCTCTTCAAACACGAATGTTTACTCACTCGCGGTATCGATCCAACAATATTTATTGCAAAATGTCAATACTTACTACTTTTGACATTGCCCATATTTCACTCCAAATTGTAATAATCGAGAACAAATTTTATTTGAGAATATTCACTGCCTTTAACATTATGGTTGTAGAAAGCCAAAAAATTGTGAACTTTTGTGATTTTCGGAATTTTTCACAGTTGAAGAAAATGCACCATGCCTCATTTTTATATACGTTTTTGTTCCATCCGAAAAAAATTAACGAAATTTAGCCGAAAAATTAAAATATCCACTTCAAATTCAAGGAGCCGCGTCATCAGCCTGATCTATTGGGGAATATCAATTTTGGAAAAAAATCTCTCTACGGTTTAGCCATTAGCGTTGTAAACGGACAGTCGTTTTGCCATAAACCAATTTCTTGCTAGCAAGTTCTCACAAAACTTGGATTCTCGACTATACGTGTTCGAGTAATGACTGCATATTTAACCAGATTTATCCACTTTTTCGGCCAGGGCACCTTAAGACGAGTTTTTCTGCGGAAATATTGCCGTTTCCCCCCGCATTACAATACGTTTTCTTTTTATTTCCTAAGTAGTATGTGAGAAAGTAAAGTAAATAATTACAATTACCAAAAGTTGTTGAGAACAATCATTAAATGTTCTCACAACTTGTAGAAATAAGTGATTGTTTTTCGAGATGTTATTTTGCTCCCTAGCCCTCTTACTATGTGAGTGTGTCGACCTATGATCATTATAGTGTTGAATATCCTGACTAACTTCTGAGCATTTGCGAGGGAGGAGACTTATGCTCTCATCTTGTCCTCACCCTAGATCTCGATGGTTTGATGTTGACTTCCAGTGTATGGAGGATGATAGGGTGCTCCTCATTGATGAACGATGACCATAAATGAATATGAATGGAATAGTCTTGGGATGAAGTATGAGAAGTCAACCTCTGGCCTTTAAACTGTTTCAAACCCGCGGTCGTCAAATGCGCGTACTGGGATGGTGCTCCCAATCTACTGCGCCACCGAGACTGGCATAGGTAGAAACTTTCCACTTTCCTTACGAAGTGTTTTTCACTTAGCCCACGTGAGATGCATCTGTTTTGCCGACTCCTTCAGGTGCTGTAAGAACCTATTTAGTCTGCGGAGAGAGCAACGAGGTAATGTCCACTGTTCGTCGAGGCGGCTTTACTAATTGCTTAATTTCATGGAAATTGACGACAAAAAAACGGGGCGCATAAATTAGTTTCCGTTTGAACGTACAGTAATTTCCTGCTTGTAGCCTACGATGTGCTTCGACGTTCAGAAGAGTGTTGAAGGTTTTTTGTGTATGGTAGAAGTAAGGACTAGAACGTGCATTAGATGGTACAGTCCCAGGTTCTTTTAAGTTCGTAGTGTCAAAGAGGAATAGCCGAATGTCAAAGGGGGTATCAAAATACATTTTGGGTGAAGTAATGTTTTTTTCTAGTCTCTTCTTCGTTTTGACAACTCGTAATTCTTAAAATCTTTTTTTATTCTTGTGAAAGATCTTGGCTGTCCGGGTGACGCCGAGTCGAAGGCTTGCCGACGTTTCGACCATCTTATCGTGGTCTTCACCAAGGCCGTTATTTTATTATTGGTTTATCTTGGAGTAATATCCTCAATGAAACAGTGTTTTCATAAATGATTGATTTCAGAAGTTGCTAGAACGAGTTTTCGAAGCTTTTAAATCTGTATTAATCAACAAATTTTTTTTATCACAATTGAGTCAATGAGCACGTAAAAAGTACGTTACAAGTTTACAAAAATACTAAAGAAAATTCATTAATCGAAAAAAATAATGACATCTTTGGAGCCCTTAGAAATGGTTTCGTTGGAGTGTGAGCATTGTTTCAGGTGTAAGTATTTGCTTATATATATAACCATTTCTTGTTGAAAGCATTATTTATTAACAAATGCTGTTTCTTTCTTAAAATCTTTATTCTCCCTGTTCAACATTAATATTTTACAGGATGTTTCAATGTAATATTTGAATCTTTTGGGGACAATCCCATAGGCTGGTAACATTCATCCATGAGATGTAACGAATTAAATAATCTAAGTAATTTTGATTTTAATCGATCAGTTAATTTTATAATTTTAATTTTCGAATTCATTGAATGTTCTTAGTGGGCGGAGCTTATCCTGTGGATATCGTGAACGTACACGGCAATTTTATTTTGATTTACCTAATCTGATTGGTACAGATCTAAATTGGTACAGACCCTTTCAAGTAGTGTTTACATTGAAAGGACACATTTATTGCCCCTTCATTTCCCTTGTTTTCGATCAATGGACGCGCATGTACCTACTTTAAGAATGTTGCCACTATGTGAGATTACATTTTATATCTTAAATTTAATTACTTTAACTCTAAATATGACGTTTTATTCAATTTTCAATTATATTAGTCACAAAATTACTTACAATGTCCAAAAAATATTGTTATTATTACATTTCACGAAAATGTTATATTAATATTGTTATTATCAGAAGCAGCAGTAGCAGGAACTCGCTAAACTAGAAACTACGCTAGGAAGACTATAAATCCCGATATTTTGAAATCAATTATATACTATATATTAATAGAAATTACATTGTAATCACCTCATCAATACAATCTTGAATTAGTGTGTAACATTTTTGTTTAAAGTTTTTTTAGCTGTAACTTCGCATAGATGTCAGATTTAATGTCTATTAGTGTCGTGCCAAAGATGGAAAAGATTTGTGCAGGGGCAAGGGGATACACGCAAATTTGTTCCCCAAAATCGAGTTGTGACTGATTAGAGAGATGGTAGTATCACGCAAAACTCAGTCAGATTAGGAGCTTTTGAGCTGAAAATTAGCAGTGAAAAGAAAACCTGTTGCTTTAATATCGGACAGGTTCGAATAATCTTTGAACATTCGCATTTTTGAAAACTTCATAGACGTAATCAAAATCGATGATATACTAAATTTATAAATGTACTTTCTTCCATCTGAATAAAAACTTTTTAAAAAACATTTGCAGGCACTTCTCAGAAAATTGTGGAAATGTCAGAGGAGCTTCATGTAAGTTACCCCCCTCAAATCAAAATATCTTAATGTCTTTCGGAACGGCACCACTAGATCTTACTTCTTGCTCACTGACAAAGTTTTAGTACAAAATTTTATAATCTAACAGAAGTATGCCTGATACATACTTTCAAACATACTGCATTCACATAGGCATCTCGGATTTCGAGTACATATAATTACGTGCATTTTTTCTCCGCATTTACCAATAGTGGCATCGTCTGACACGTGATGTTTAACAAAAAATCATTGCTTATAACTATATGTGGTACGTTACGTTTTTAAGTTGAGGTGATCTAAAGGTTTCTTTGCATATTTTCCTTCATCATACATGTACCGATCTTGGTAAATATAATACATTTCCATTACATGTTCAAAGCTGTGTCCACAGTGAATAATGACTTTATGATTTCAGAATGTATAAATGTCTCTTAATACTGAAAGACATGAAACAATATTTTGGAAGTTTTCTATGTTCCAGAAAGTGAAAATTTACACTCTCAAACTTTTCCAACTTTCCTGCAGCTACATCTCACAAGTATCTAATTTTCGGCGTGCATTCTTGTTGCTCAATATTTGAAGATGTCTCAACTTTCTTAGCCATTTTTCAACAATATTGACGCTTGTGGCCTGTATGTTTTCTGCAAAACTTCATTCAATTGTATATCTTTAAATGACGCCATGCACATTTTATTTCAAAATCAGAGTAACTGTTTAGTAATAACACTAAGAGGAGGTAAAGTTTCGGTATGCCGCAAATTCCCACTAGTTTTATTTGGCAAAACAGAAAAAAGGCAGCACCTTGTATTTAGGGGCAAACCTTATCTACAAGCAATAAAGTTACCAGCTCAGAATTTGTTTTGTAGGTAAAGGAAATCTATAAGAAATCTGATCGAGAGGATAACCATTACCTAGAAGAGAAGTTCGTAAAATATTAGTCACAGATTAATTTCCGTATAGGTTAAACTTGCAGATTTTATATAACTGAGTTCAAGACGTCGTTGGTACTTTTCATGGAGAACGCTTATTGGTCTTTAGCGACTTAGACATTTTTAGTGTTACTACTTGATTCTAAAATGCTTCCCTGACATCTCTTTGCTTGCAGTGGAGGAGAAAAAAGGCTCATTCGTTACATCGGTTGCTACGAAGGGAAAGCACTTAGTGCTCCAACATGTGCCCATTATCTCTTGGCTGCCAAAATACACCAAATTTGATGCAGTATCAGATGCTGTTGCTGGATTCACCGTTGGACTCACGTTAATGCCCCAGAGCATTGCGTATGCATCCTTGGCTGGGTTGAGTGCACAGGTATTTATAGTAAGGTTAATCCAAAGTGGTTATCACAGCGTATACGCTAAACACGAACTTAGGAGCTCACGTGCGTTCGCGATCGCTAACATATTGTATGAAAATTGTATCTGCGCATGTATTCCTGAGCTTTCATTTCGCTAGATGAGAGAGAAGTGGGATTGATTGATTGATTGTTAGTGATTTCGGGCGCTTCAGGCTGCTAAGGTCATAAGTCCCGTAAGTGTAGTGCATGTTTTCCTCGGGCAATGGCGGTGGTCCTCCCCCGCTGGATTACGAGATCCGGCGCCGACCTACCGACGGCAACGGGGTTTTCCCTACCACGTATCTCCCATCAGCGGGGACCTGCCCCAGCCGGGACAAACTCTAAACGTTCGACCGGTCTCCCGGCATGTGTGGAAGTGTAGTACATGTAAGTGCAAGTGTGTGTGGAAGTAAGGGGTGAGGATACGACAAGAAAGAGAAAGGAAAGATCGCACGCGGTCCGTCCCGTTTGTTAGGGTACTGCTCCGACTTTCGTCTGATGATTTCGTCTGATGTTGACCGGAGAAACCACGGAAAACTACCGGTCAGAGAAGCCGGCCGCTAGAATTCTTCTCCATTCAGCGGTTAAATTTGTCGCAGCTTTCTAGCTATTGTTGAAAATCGTGTCACCGTCGGGACTGAACCTAGGACCTCAAGATCAGAGGCACTGCAGTGACATCAATTGATCTCCTAAGCCACCTAAGCCGGTAGAGACGAATTTTCGCTATTTCGTCAGGGTTATTAGTTTTTATGTGAAATCTCTAGCCCGTTTTCGATGCAAAATAATTCCTATTACATGAGGGCGAAAATACATTTTGTCAACAACGCTGGGAGCTATCTCCTTAACTGAACCAATGCTGGTAAGGAGGAGGGGTAGAGATTTTAGGGCTCAAGAAAACTTGCGCGTATGATAGTTGTAACAGTAGTGCTAAACTATCGCCTGAAATGAACTAATTTAAAATTTGATTATCATCAACATCAATTATGTTCTCTATGATGCCTTTTATCGATTCATATGAAAGTTTTGCCAGCTTAGGTTCATCACAATTTCCAGATTGTAGTCGCATACGCTAATGAATGCGAATCGAAATCAAATGAGTGAACCTCCATGAGATAGTGGGAATTTGGCGAGAGCAGTACACACTCTCTTTACCATTTAGAACAACTATAGACGTAATGTCTTAGAAGAAAAACGTGTAAAACAATGTCAGCTCATGAAACGTTGAATTATCGTCACATGGTTGCCTTTAAGTGTTTAAGCTAGTAGTGTGTATATTCACATCGCGCTAAAATTATTTTATTCCACTTTCATGGAGTGTGATTGTCTTGAAATTCAGGTGTAAAAATTCTGATTAGCGTTTTTTGTTTGTTACAGTATGGATTATATACAGCATTTATGGGAAGTTTAGTCTACACATTTTTTGGAACAATCAAGGAGGTCTCCATTGGACCAACATCATTGATGGCATTGCTTACATTTCAATTTACCGAACATCTGGGTGTGGAGTTTGTAATTCTGCTGTCATTTCTGGCTGGTTGTGTGGAATTGCTCATGGGTGTCTTAAACGCTGGTATGATTTTTCCTTTGTTTTGAAAATTCATGTGTTGATATTCACGTGAAAAAAAAATGAATAAAATATTTAATTTTTCTTTACCTTTAGGCTTCTTGGTGAGCTTTATTTCCGCCCCAGTAACGTCTGGTTTTACATCGGCTACTTCCATCATAATCATTATTGCTCAGCTGAAAGGGATCCTTGGAATTTCTTATAAATCCCACGGTACCATAGATGCTGTTCGCCAGCTATTCGTCCATTTACCTAACACACGGTTGTGGGATGCCATTTTAGGAATTTCATGTACTACATTCCTTCTATCATTAAGGGTGAGTAATTATTATTATTATTATTATTATTATTATTATTATTATTATTATTATTTTATAATCACAGTTTTCTCACGGCGAGTCTACATAAAAACGATCTTCTCATCTCCAAGAATCTTGTTTTCTTGTTAGATAGAAGAACATTTATTACAAGGATTCAAGGATTCAAAATGACTTTTTTTAAGATGTATATGTATTTAGTGTTTATTTATAACTTTTGTACATTTTACAAAATAAATATTTTCACAAATTCCTCTTCTTGAAGTCAGAAACATAAATATAGATACTGATTTATGTTAGATTTGTTTTAACTAACTTTAGGGGTCACTATTCTATCCCATGGTGTTACTATTTTATTTAATAATGTACTCATAGCTTAAACTCCAAGTTGAATTACTAGTAAAATATAAAACCCGTGAAAATTAAAAGGAAAGAATGAGTGAATTGTTACAGGGATGCGCTTACGTTATTATTGTATTTCAGAAAATAACATCAATACCTGTAGGGCCAAAGAACCCTTCTTTACAAACTCAGAAACACAGAGTAATAAAGAAAACTCTCTGGTTCATCTCCATAGCACGCAATGCTTTGATAGTACTAATAGCATCGGTCATTGCTTATAAATTCAAATCAGTTGGAAAGACTCCATTTATTCTGTCAGGTTCGTAGTGTTATACAATGATCATGAAATGTATTTTCAAAGGGAATTATGTTTAATGAGTTTTTCTTTTAATTTCGTAGGTCAAATCAAGCCTGGATTGCCTGCCTTCCAACTTCCTCCGTTCAGTGCTCAGATTGGAAACGTCACATATTCATTTCCCGAAATGTGCAAAGAGCTTGGATCAGGAATAATTTTGATTCCTATTGTTGCCGTTTTGGCAAATGTTGCAATAGCTAAAGCATTCAGTTAGTATTTCGCCATTTAGTAGATGGAGCAGAATAACATGCGATTTTCAAATTATTATAGGGAAAATATAAAAGATTTCCCAAAATAATTGTCATATTAAGCTATCATGTGAAAAAAATAAGCCGTCATAATTTAGTTTTTGAAAATTACGTCCGAATTGTTTCCCAATGAGCTGTATAACACGGGTTCGTTCCAGTAACACGGGTTCGTTCGTTGTAACTCTTATGAGCTTCACATTTTGAGAAGTTCGCACTGGTTTTGGTTTGGTTTTCATTCTTCATTTTACTGTTAACAAAGTGTCTTCAAATTTCCAACTAAAGAGACAGATATCGAAAATTGATACAAGGGGTTCATAAGAGTGACATACTTGTGTCTTAATAGCTATTGTTTTCATAAAGCGCTTCGACAACGTGCACGTAAGCTCACCGTTCTATTGTACCTAAAAACATAAGGGCGTGGAACACTGCCGAAAACTTTTTAACATTCTCCTTTCAAAGTGGCGAGATTGATGGCATTGTCGCCATTTTTAAGTAGCCCGTTATTCTGCCCCATCTTTTACAAAACCGTTTTGAATTAATTAATAAAGAAGTAGTCTAATATACAGTTTACAAAATGTTGCAGTGAATTTATAGATTGTTGTTATTATTTCAGCAACTGGCGCATCTCTAAACGCGACGCAAGAAATGATAACACTGGGTCTGTGCAATATTTTTGGTTCATTTGTGCAAGCTTTTCCTACGTGTGGAGCTTTCACGAGAAGCGCTGTGAGCAATGCGAGTGGTGTTAGAACGCCTCTAATGGGACTTTACTCAGGTAAAATAAGCTGTTTTTTTATTCGATTGCTTAGTTTAATCGATCGTAACTGGAATTGACTGTCACGTTTTTCCCTACTCAGAAAGGCTGCAAGTCTTCACCTATCTTTACATTCACTCATTGGCCCACGCGAGAATTTTAAAAATCTACGACCGTTGTGTGGAAAGTGTCAATGAAGTGGCTCACTCACTCTAACCTCAATTCACGAATTCATATTTTAAAATTAATTCTCCATCTTTTGAGAAAAGTGTTTTGCGTTGTTGTTCCTTGGTGTGTCAGTGGAGGCGTGTCATATGCAGAATGAAAAGTGCCATTTCACCAATTTAAACGCGTTTTACATTATATTTTAAGTTCTTGAATGATTTTGACTTCTAAATTTGTATATAACAGTGAGTTCGAAGTCTTGCTTTGGAAATGCGCACTTTCCATTAGATTTACTTTCCCTTACCACCACGGACTTCGCTGAACCTCATGGCGAACTCATGCCGAACTGAAGTCACAGTATGAGTAAGCTGTGCTGAAGTGTCGCGCAAAACTATTCACAAAAGCTAATGGGTGTCATGGGAACGACATGTATGACCTTAGTCTGTGTATGCCAAGGACCTGATTCAAGGCTAGGATGGATAACGTCGTTTCCTCGACTTCAAAAATCGTTCTCCGAGATTCCTCTAAGAGGGAACAAGGCAGAGGAAACAAAAACGACCTTGTCAGTCTCAGGGAATGAAGTGACAAGGTTCATTCGTGTCTTTCTGTACGCCAATTAATGCCATTTTAATGTCACGACGGACGTAGCTTTCAATAGCATCGAGCATAGTAATACATTATAAAAATTATGCAATCAAGGGAAATATGCAGTACAATTAAACAATGAAATGAAACAGGTAACACAATGATGAATTAAAAGTTGCGAACATTTAAAATTTGCATTTGGAATATTTCAGTAATTTTATTGAGTGACCTAGATCATTTATGTGAGAATTCCTTGTTCCATTAGATTATTATTATTATTATTATTATTATTATTATTATTATTATTATTATTATTATTAATGTGAATAAGACCAATTGGGACTACGCAAAGTACTCAGATTTGTTTCTTAGCCTTTGTTTGTGCCCATATTTCTTTCATCCTTTGGTTGTGCGCCATTTTTCTCTCTGCGGACCAAGCTTTTCCTGTTCTACACTTTGGTACTTCTTCCAAATCAATCCGTCATGACTGCACTTTAGATCTAAATGTGTTTATATTTTGAATTTCTTCTGTGATTTCTGATAATGTAGGGTCCTTTTATATTATTATTGTTATTCCTTATTTATTGTTAGTATTATTTATTAATTTATTTTTATTAGTAGTAGTATATGTGAGATAACTCATGAAAAATACAGAATAATTTCACCCCCTTTTTTGCCATGAGCCGTTAATGGTCTTATGAATGTAGTACAAAGTGATACAATACTTGTTTTCGTCAGTTAAGGAAGAGTAGTCCCATCTTAGCAGATATTTATTTAAGCAAAAAGCATTTTAAATCTCACCGTGATCATTCTCAAGGCTAAAGTGCGAAGGCTTCAAGACAGGAAGTTCTTTAGGATCGGGATGCATCGATGTCTAAATTAAAATATCGATATTAATACATTGCTCAGAAACTGTATGGTTTATAAGCAAATGCCATTCATGATTCCTCCAAGCCTCTCCTCATAGTGCTTGTAATAGCTTCGTTAAGCTTGCCTTGCCTATTCTTTTGCGAATCAGTATTTTCTGTAAAAACTAACATATTCAAGATCGGATTCATAATTCCAAGCAATATAGATTCACCGTATGAGTCACAATAAATATACTCGTTTAAATGCTATGTAAAATATTTTATTCGAGACTCTCTGGAAAGTAACTTATTGTTGTACTGTTTAACGGCAAGAAAGTTGCTCAATGAAGGTCGATTCTGACGAAAGCGTCATGTAATGAAGTTTCCTTGACTTAACTGTCACCATCTTTTCACCATGTAACAGCTACCGACAAAGAACTAAAGAGCTTTGCATTATATTGAAATTTCATGACTTACTTGGATAATCCGTTATAGATCTCGTTTTTCAAAGCACACAGCACTTCTATTTGTAGCGTAAGCCCCGTATTCATCTAAGAAACAAAATACTATCAACAAGACGCATAGCAAAAGTTCCATGTCAAGATATATTGACTTAGTTTTCAAAACAGTGTTCCTTTAAAGATCCGTTACATAGATAGGACCTGACTTTCTCGTAATAATTAAAGAAAACACAAGAAGATCAACTAGTATGTAGCCGTGCTAACTAAATAATAAATCAAGTGATGACCACTACATTTAATTTCAGTGATATTTTTCAATTACAGGGAAACATGAATAAAAAAGTCTCAAATGAAATACACACGCGACAAAAGCCCCTTTTCATCACTCAAATCATAAATCCCAGGCGCAATTACGGGATCACCCACGAGGTGCGCCTGCTCGATAAAGGTCCCCAGACCCGGGTCGAGGGTAGGCTTCCAAGGAAGCCTGGGTCGAAAAACTCGGGTGCGGAACTGCCAAAGGGCAGTCACCCCGCAAATAATCCCATAGGATAAAGAAACAAACGAACAAATAAACCAGTCTCGTTATGAAAATGTTGATTTTCTTGCCTTGTGATGTAAATTACTATTCTGCATAACTCTTTCTATGGAATTGGAGACCATACTGACCATTAAAAGAGAACATTTTTAATAATTAAAAATAATATAAAAGCAGTGGTTTTCATTTATACTGGATAACTATAAAAAACTAAACGCACCTATAAGAAGATCAGCACTTCAGCTTCTGGGTAATCGACTGCCCTCTCGATGGGGTTTTTCGTTCATTGAGTTTCCGTTGACCAATTGAGCAAATGATGCGATGACCCTTTGTTTTGCTTCTGGAAGTAAAATTAGCTTCAATCTGCGCACGTTTTGTTGAGCTCTGATTTTTCTAGTTGCAGGAGGAGTAGGATTGGAGTGACTTTATTTTGTCAACAATACCATACACTCAATATTGCAATTCGTTCGTCGATGCAAATACATAAATATTTTAAATGAAAACTAGAAATTTTCGTTCCGAGCAATAATAAATTTATTCTGAACGAAAATTTCTAGTTTTCAAATCTTGCTAATGTCTTGCCCCAGTTCTCCGTATATTCAATCATCATTCAAATGTGTATAGTAAAAGAGTGGGGTAGTAATTCGCAGAGTTTACTGCTATTGCGCAGATATTACTTCATCCTGGATTCTTCTATTAAGCTATAATTAACGCTTTTAATAAATGTACGTTTCTGATATGCACAGGTTTTCAAAAAAAATGTTGCAAATATCAAGGGCATGATGATGGAGGTCAAAAATATTCGCTTTTTGCCAATGAAAATTTCATAAAACGTAGGGAAATTTCATATAACAAAGTTACACAAGTCAGGTTTGCCCCTGATTTGTAGACAATTCATTATGCACACGTGTTGTGCGGGTCACATTCTGAAACAAAGGTATTTCATTTACCTGGTTTCGGGCGCCATTGGCTACAACGTGCGATCTCGCCTCATTCGCATGAAGGGCAATCTGAACAGCAACCGCTACACCAAGGAGGTTGTAGGACCCGAGGTACTGCCCATGTGCCAAGCAGCTCCACGTGCTGTATTTCAGCAGGACAATGCCCGATGCGCCGAGGAATGGGCCACGCTTTTTGCGAAGAACGGATGGGTATTTCTCGCGCAACTTTTCTTGAACGATGATCTTGCTTCCCCCTCTCTGACACAATAAACAGTTGAAGACAAAAGCTCGCAGCGTGCACCGATGGCAACATTCCAGATACATCTTCACTGGCGCGAAATAGAAACTATTTTACGTTGAGGACGAGAACTTCTGATCGTGATTTTCTCCAAATAATTTAAATAAATGACCAAAGCAGGTGAAGATTCATCACAGGAAATACCTCGAACTCCTGAGAAAATTAGAACGCAAATTATTGAGAAAGTTGCGAAGGCGTGACTGATTCTCCAGAGATTGGCATTGCTTCATAAAATCTAGTGACCTATTTCGTAACTAATACCCCCACTATACCCGCATTTCTTCCGTTCAAGAAAAGTTGCGCGAGTAATATCACTGCTTCCCTGGTTTGTACGTTTGCCTGATATGTGGCCCATCGAACATGTCTGGGTTATGGTCGGTCGGCAACTTGTTCCCTCTGGTTCTCCTGTAGCCGTTGTCGATGCTTTGTGGTCACATTTAGAAACAGCGTGCCGGTGTCTTCCCCAGCAGCATATCCAAGCTCTCTTTGAAACCACGTCACGACGTCTGGAGACTGCGATGACAGCGCATAGTGTATTCACACCGTACTAAATACTCCAGTGTATAGACTAAGACATTTATAATCGTTCAATAGAGAAGGAAACCAATGTTTTAATGCTATTATTCAAATAAATATTATCGCATGTTATACTCGTTGTAGTATCGAAATGAACAGAAATCAGTGAAGCAGAAAAGATATTGAAGACAGAAATGTTACACCAAATTTGAACTTGTGAACCTCAGATTTAATATCATTATTAAATATAATTTCCGTATTTTATTCTTAGTATAGTATTTAAATAAATATAAATTGCTTTGCAACTATAAAAGATGTTACTTGACATTGTATAACACGTGTACCGATTGTAACGGTAAAAAGTCCGCAAATATAATGTCAATATGTTATAAAGTAATTAATTATTTTACATTATCTTGTACGTTATTAACTATTTAATATTTTTATTTTTAAAATTTATGGTACTAAATATTACGCATTAATATTAAATCTCCTTCAGGTACCATTATATTGCTGGCTCTCAGTTTTCTCACTCCGTACTTCTACTTCATCCCAAGAGCTACTTTGTCGGCAGTTTTGATATGTGCTGTCATGTTTATGATTGAATGGGAAAAGGCTCTGTTGTTATGGAGAACAAGCAGTAAGTATTTATTTGCGGAGTGGTGCATACCTTACCTTATCGAAGCATTAATATACTTATGTCAACTTTTCATTCAGAACGAGACTTCCTTCTGCTTCTTTTGACTTTCCTGTCGTGCCTTCTTATGGGCGTGGAGGTTGGTTTGTTGATGGGTGTAGCCGCTGACATAGTTTACTTGTTGTATCTATGGGCAAGGCCAAATATTGATGTGGAAATATGCAAGGTAAGTAACATTGTCTTCAATGACGTTCTTGGTATTTCTTTTACTACTATTTATGACAATACAGTATTGACATTTTAACAATAACATTTAACCCTAAAATATTTTTTTAATTAAAGCTCTATTAATCTATTATAATCATGAATGAACAAGTATTGCTCGTCTTCTTAAATGTGTTTCAAAATGTTGTGGTTATAAATTAATCAGTGACCGACGAAGTATAACAGAAATAAAACGTATGATCAACATTTTTTTTCATTTAAGCGAGTTGTTTTATTATTTATTTAAGCAACGTTTCTGATTTGTTACGTAACCAGTACCAACGATGTAGTTGATTACAATAATGAGAAGGAAACTTACATTCATTCATGAAAAATGCAGAGTATCATATGATGGCAAAAATAGAGAACAAAGTCTGATAAGTAAGCCAACATTACATCCTCATTAACCACGTTAAAGTTATCTGTATTTTTCCAGAAACAAAATTTTTCATGTTCTTTTTAAATATTTCTTCCTATTTTTGTAGTATTAATTATTTATTTGCTTCATTGAATCTATTTTTGATTTCCCAAGCACCTCTATTTTTTAAATATATTTCTGCCTGTTTGACAAGAATGTCTTTAAGAATTTTTAACGTTTCAAATAGGCATCACTAAAGATTTAAATCTCAATGGAACCTAAAGCGAACCCAAGAATAAATTGCAAAATAATTAAAGAAAAATTGTTTATTATATTAGAACTAGCGCTACATGAGTATGTAATAGTAGCAGTGTGCAATAAACATTCTCCGCAAGTAAAATTTTACTTTAATTATGTTAAAATATTTTCAGTTTTTGAAGTCTGGGCAAACCTCATATTTTGAACATTATCGGTACTTGTCGCCCTTTCCTCAAGGACACAGACGGTCACTTCATTTTTTCAAGAACTAATTCAACAAACGCCATGTTGCTCCGAATGAACTACTGTTCTCTAAATCGACAATTTGTTTCTGAATTTGTTGAGTCTATTCGCGCACTGCGTCTCTCAGCACCTAAGAACGTTGAGCGCACCTTGGAGTAATCCTCCGTTAATTATAGGAGCAATCCTCCTTTATTATACACCCAGCACACTCTAGGGGCCGCTGGGTAGTCAAGTCACTTCAGTCGCAGACAAGTCAGGGAATCGCCGATAGGTAGCGTCTTCGCGCTTCTGCTCTAGCGTCCTGCGTCATTTACTTATCTGCCACAATTGGGAAGAAATAAGGATAAGGTTTAGGACGCTTCACAAGAGTTTGACTAGCCCCTGTGAAGCATGCTAACTCGTTTTGTCGTAACAAATTTCACATGAGGTTCTAAGGGAATCGAATCCGGAACCTCAGTGGTGAAAGGCAATATTGACAGTTGTCTACACCGCCACATATCGAGATACTAAAGGAAGGCTAAATACTATCTTATTTACAAATTGCTGAAAATGCGTGTATTAACGGCGTGAGAGATCTCTAAAAAAATTACATTTGTCTAATTAAAAAAATACACCGAAACTAACTTTACGTCATATTAAAAAGTGAAATTACCTCTATCCGTTCGAAATGATTGTAGAAAAAGTTTGTAGCCGTTTTTGAGAAAATTTTGCTAATGTCTGGGAGGCTTGATGTAAAGTACCCCTAAATTTTAAAGCTTTTTTCAAAATCTCAAAGATTTTACTCGAGACAGATCGGGATTTTACTCGGACACGGGTTTCTTCAATTTTGAAAAACTTCCTACACATGATTTAGGAGCTAATGGTGTTCACAGTCACTAGATTGACAGACATTGACATTAACGTTTTGAAAAAACAACACTTTTTCGATATCAGGGAGCCACAAAACATGTATTTCCGTCGACATCTCGAAATTGATTTTCCTTAGCACTACATAACTTTCCCAATACTACGTATTGGGAAATTATTACTTTTTATATACGTACGGGAGAGTAAAAAGTGAAGTAGGTATAAGAGAGAAGTGGAATCTGTACACGTCGACAAAGTGGATGGGACAACATAGGGATGGGATGGTTTTTTCTCGGACATCTCTCTTAGCCCTTGCCTATCATTCCACCATATTTACTCTCCATTATTTCTATTCACGTATCCTACGACTTCTTCATCAATTCACGACTTCATCATCACTGACAGTCGCTTTTAAAATATGGGATTCGGAGATCGATTATTGTGTCCTCTCCCCACATTTCACAACATTTAAGGAATAACCATACCACAAAAAAACAAAACTTTTTAAAAACTTCTTTAATGTGGGAATGTCAGATCTTGAGGCTTCCGTTTCGATACAGTGATGTTTGTTCGGAAAACGTTGTATATTATTTCATGCAATAGCAAATAAAATAATTACAAACCGTAGATGAAATAGTTTTCACTTCAATTTTTTTTTTAAATTGGTAAGAATGTTGTGAAAATATTGTGGCCGAGGAAAAAATATCCTAAATACATCGGGAGAAAAATAGTTGTAATCCTCGGGACAAAGTCATCAGTCTTCAAACGTATACCTCAGGGAAAATCATCCATTTCTCTCCCTTGATGTGTATTCCACCATTATATTACGTTGACAAAAATATATTGATATGTTGATTTTATACAGTGTTTTTAATTTTATGCCATGTTATTACTCGTTAAACATTGATTTCTATTTATTTTAGAGCCCAGTTGGAGGAGAATACCTTATTGTTACTCCTGACATTGGTCTTCCATATGCTGCTGTTGATTTCCTAAGAACTGAAGTTTGTAGAGTAGGAGAAATCCAAGGAGCAGGAATTCTGCCTCTCGCAATCAATTTCAAAAACGTGAAGAGCTTTGATTTCACCACTTCTATGGTTAGTCTACTTTCTTTGGCATCATTTGACTAGTTCAGAATGAACTCCATTATTAATTAAATTATATCCAATAATTTGTTATATAAATTATCAAATATCTTAATAACTTAGTCTGATAGTGTAATAACATTTAAATTTGTAATTTAATTAATTTCCTTGTAAGGGCACATTACATCTTTAACAATATTTGAAGGATACAGTATTCAGTGCAAAAGTTTCGGAAGCACACTCATTTGCTTTTGCAATAAATTGACAGAAGTTCCTCATTAACTGTACTTGTTATTTCACAGGGAATTGACTCTCTTCTGAAAGACTTTGAGAAAAGAGGACAACCACTAATTTTTCTCAACATGAAACCTCAAGATGTAGAAATGATACATAATGCTAATGTCAAGATGATGCAATACTGTCATTCTGAAGAAGAGCTGGAGGATTTGTTGTTTGGTAAGTTTCTGCTCTCAAGTTATATCATTACTTACATGGTTTTTCTTTTAAACTTATATAAATTGTGTTGTTTAGGTGAGAAATTGGATCTGGGGCGTTGTGAGACAATGCCCATTTTGGGATCGCCATGTCAAGACAAATCTCTTTTTTCGGATGATGATTTTAACTCAAAAAAAGAGAATGAGAGTGACTTAGAGTTGAAGCATGAAGAAAAAATTAATATTTCTAGTTAGATTGAGAAAATCAAAAGTAAAAAATTGCATTAATGAAATAGTGTGAATCAGTGGTTGCTCTAGGGATTATGAAATAATTAGAACCATCACCACTTTAAGAATTCAAAAATTTTGATAAACTGACCTAAACAACTTTCTACTTTTTAAAAAGAATCTTCATATTTTTGCTATTTTTCTACTAAAAGTGGATATTTTGTTCTCATAATTATTATCTTCTTGGTTGATAAATTTGAAAGAGATGAGGTAGACAATCTGTCTTCTATCGTAGATGTACTGATTTTGAGATAGGTTCGGATAAGTGGTGTCTTGCCATCCTCAGATCTTTGACCATCATTGATGTAATTGGAGGTATGGCAAAAGTTCCATCTTAATTCCTTTTGTATATAAAAGACTTCTTTTCATTAATAATATCACATCTTTCTTATTATTTATTATAATAATGTGTGAAGAGTTAGTTCATGGACATTGAAAATAATTTATGAACTAACTTTCAAATATTTATTTCTAACGCTAATCATATTTCTAATAATTTTCATTTGCATATTTTGTATACATGTTGAGTCAGCCATTTAACTATCATCATTCATAGATTTTTATCATTTTATTTTTAAATTAACAAAGATTTTGTTCTTTGTCACCGTGTAATTAAGACTGATGTTTTAGAAACTTGTATTGCAATAAACTGCCATGTTTGTCCTTTCTTCTTCTTCTTCTTCTTCTTCTTCTTATTATTATTATTATTATTATTATTATTATTATTATTATTATTATTATTGTTGTTGTTGTTATTAATATTTATGGGAGGGAGACATCGGCCCTCAGAAGTCGATGACAAATATTCAGAAGTTGTTGGCGTATATTCACAAAAGCTATTTTTATTAATTTACTACAGAAACAAAACCATCCAATAAAAAACCAATTCTCTATTAAATACAGTATTAATACTCATTTATCAATAAATAAAAATAAATATGATGTTCAGCATAAACGAAAACTATAAGACGGCTACACTACAACTATAACCCCTAAATCAGAAGGTGCAATTTCAGTCCACAAACAGCTGCTAAACGATTTGTATCCTCACACTTCATTAGCTTGCCTCGCAAATGGCACCTCCTAGGGCATTGAAACCTCAAATTATGTTCCTTACCTCGTAAATTACACAATGAAATATTCTGAGATCGCTCTAGTGGACTCCATCATAAAGTGGCAATCTTTTAACCGCTTGAACTGGCCGCGACGAGTTTGAGACGATTGATAAGGCATAGCCGTGTCACGTCAAGTCTTAAGCCTCAAAATAATTTTAAAAAATTTATTATTACTTTCAGACCTTACTACGTTTTCGTACACGTACTTATAGTATAGAAAAATTTATAAGTCGATATTTTAACGTTTTGGGGTCCTCTCATATCGAAAAGGTGTTGTCTTTTTCACATCTGTCGCCTGTCAGTGAATATATCTGTGAGGGTATCTAAACCTTTCACAGGTATTTCATAAAAAAATATGCGTTTTAATCGATCTCACTGATATTGCGTCCCCTCGAATTTGAAACGTCTCCTTTTAATTTGAGAGGGCGGTACTTTGCGTAAGGAAAAGTCAGGTCTAGTGAGGACAAAGGTTTATTTCAGCCAAAAAAGGTATATTCTGGAAGAAAAAAACATTATTTTGTATTCGAAATTACCCCAAAAGAACATTATTCACAAAAATGTAGGCCTTGACGTAGACGATTCAGTAATTAGAATACCCTATTTCTATCATTTTCAACGAACCAAAATCAATCTATAAAATAAATATAAATGAAATGTTTTTATTGCCGAATTTGCCGAAATACAAGATGAAATGGTGGGCCTTTTCCCATATCACATGATCAAAATGCGTTTAATTTGATTTGAGTTCATTTGATTTGATTTGTGGTTTGAAACCATTTGAAGTCATTGTGTAATCGCGCTCAATTGGCGCTAACAACTTTCAATGTCACGACTTTCTAGAAATCGCCCCACCACAGTCATGGTATAAAAATAGATTTATATCGCGCTGAAATCGGGCTTTGAGGAAACTACGCTTCAATGGGTCAAATAGTTATCAGTTCTACTTTCTGGTTCCGAAGTGGCAAGTCCATTAAATTTTCTTTTTGTTTTAGATTCTACTAGTGATCTACAGCAGTATAAAAGCTGCTGAACAAAATCACACAAATTGATTTTCCTAAATGTAGCAAACACACTTCTCAAGAAGAATTAAAATATTTGATAATAACACTACAATAAAATGATATATAATAACTAAAACTGTAAAATAAACATAATATATAATGGTTCGGTACATACCAAAAATATCAAAAACGATTATGCACCATAAGGCATTACAAGTATTTAATTTCGGTCGGCCTCTTCCTTGGAGCTTTGCTCACGCATGACGTCAGCTGTGCACTAAGCAGTGACACATGAGAATTCAGTCGGTACGCGCAAAATGATAATAGGCTACATAACACAACGAAACATTTTGCATTTTTCACTCAAAATCGAAACGCACGATTACATAACTTTCTGTTCTTGCGAATAATTCGTTAGGCGAAGAAGTAAAAAGGAATCTTTGTAGAACCATACACAAAACTTTTCTCAGATCCTCATTTTGCTTAGACCGTGGATGAGAATAAAAGGGAAGCCTGGAACTCTCTTAAAGAGATTGACTTAAAGAGGTAGCTTGGGAACGTAAAGAATCCTAACAACAGATGTGTCGTGGAAAACATGGTGAACGCTTTTCAAATACTAGGTAAGTTTGAAGGTTCACTTCCTACACTCTCATGTGGACTACATTCCAGAAAACGTATACCCGGAAGCGTACACGAAGTACTTTCCAAGAGAAAAAAAACGTTTTCTCAAAAATAACAAATATGCATCATTGTTTACTCTGACAAGCCAACTTCCGGAATACAGAATAATGTATTTGATATTGTGAATAACCCGTACTGTAAATAAAAACTGTTAGCCGATTCTCTCTTTCTTCATTATAACTTCTCTCTTTCGAGATTGAACATGCGAATGAAAAAAATCTGGACTTGATAAAGGAAAACTGACCTCACTGTCGGTTTCAGCACACCAAAGAACATAAACACCAAATTATATTATCAAATGTCTTAAAGTTTTCTGCTGTACCTGTGAAATTAGTGATGTAGATAAGTAAATTGAAAGTTATGTTTACATATTTTTAAGCAAAAAAAAAGTTCCGAGGAAGTACAATGAAATAATCCACCTATAATCCAACACTGCTCCGTGAACCGAAAGAAGGGTGTAATGATGCGCATATCCAAGTGCATCAGCCAATATGTTCTCGCAGAGCATATGTCGCGACTGTCGCGTCTTACAAAGAGGGACATTTCATGTGGTTATGAAGAGAGCGCTTCCATTCTAAATGTAAGACTGAAGTGCACAGGGGCATTATTTTGCTGTTCGGACATTATTTTCAACTTGTCTTTCTTTAGGAATTTATTGTTTCATTCATGGACCATACCTTCATTCAATTCTCTCGACGATTTGTCTTTGTCAGATTGTTATGTTCAAATCAATCCGCCGTTTCAGACATGTGACAGGTGACGTGTACGGATAAAGTGACGAATGTCTGTCTGACGCACAATTCTGCGGTGCCAGGCGGCCTATCGGTCCCAGTGTGTCTGGGCCGTGCGACGAGTGAGGACGGAGACAGCAGGGACATTTGAAAGGTAACTACACCACCGTTTAAATGGGGTCACGACAATAACTGTGAAAAATAAACTTCAAGTGAACGACAAGTTAAAAAATACGGTTATTTTATCGAAATATTCACAAAACAAGAGTGACTCCAAGAGGAGGGGAGCAATTGACCATGCCGCCTTCCAGTTCATAAAACGATTATTCTTAGTGTATATATATATATATATATATATATATATATATATATATATATATATATATAAAATCTAAGTATGTATGACACGTAGTATTTAGAATGTTTTATTTTGTTAATTGAATAAAGAGTCCAATGTTGCTAAAATGTTTCAACTTTGAATATTTAATATTTATATTATTAGAAAATGAAGGCTTAAGATTTAATTAATCATAACTTTCACTTCTTTTGTAGAAAAATTGAGGTATGCATTTCTAGAATGGTTTATAAACACATTAACGGAAGTAATATATTGAAACATAGTTATTAGCTTCAATGAATTCAGTTTCTAATTGTGTTAACTTTATTTTTGTAAAATAACTCCCTCTTAAATATTTTCTGGAAACGTCTTATCCAGAACAAAAATTCTTTGAAAATAATATTTCAGTATTTACAGTGATGTTCACACTTGTTGAATCTATTTTTTTAACCCAATAATATATCAGGTTCTCTTCCATTCATAAAACTTGCTAAATAAGGCCTAATTACAACCTACAATCTTTCGTTTAGCGACAAAAATTGATTCAAAAATATTTTCTTTGGATCAACACTTACAGGTATTGGCTTCATTTTAAGACCAAATTCTTAGGTTTCAATTCAAAAAGGCAATTTGTCGTCTTTGAGGTCAAGTAGTACCATTACTTGAAAGCCGAAAGTCTTACTGTTGGAAATATTTTATTCCTTGGCATTTGCGAACGAATTTTGTGAAAAAAGATTCGATCAAACACATTTCGAGAAAGTTTCTTGTGAGATCGCGAAAATTTGTTTCGGCCATGATTGTCACAATGTGAATAGAATTAAGTTTATATTTATTTATTTTGATAACAAAAACAGGGAAAAGGAAAGTATATGTATATCTTGAAGTGTAGAAAAGCTTCAGTAAGTGATCAGAAGCAGAAAAAGGCATCATCTCAACATAAGCTTAATGCATCAAAGGAAACTGAAGGAACATCTCTTCTAAGATATGGGCCAGAGACAAAGAAGAACTAACAACGTTTTTATGATAAATTTTATTTTCCTTCCAATATAACTAATCTAAAACTAGTAGTGTAGCAACCTGGCGTAGACTTTCCCGTACAAGTAACGGTTATGTAAATGATGATGATTACATTGTAAATGTTGTAGACCTCTAATATTTCAGCTATTGTGTGCAAATCTCTCCTCATTAAACTGTTTGAACCAT